TGATTAGAGCCTTTGCTATTATGGGCAGGGCTTGTCTACTGTTGGGCTTCACTATAAAGAGATAGGTAACAAGCCACATTCTCTATCACAGGACCCTCAAAGTCAATGCTTGTAGGCCTTTCCTCTTGGACCAGCTGGTTTTCCCTTAAGGGGATGCTTCCAATTTCCTGGTAAGATCCCAGCATTCTGGAATCTGAATTTGGGAATGAAGCTGGAGGTAGGGTATGGCTCACAATTCAATATGTACAATTTCATATAATTCTACTTTTCTTTGGAGTGAGTCATCCCTGTCCTCAGCCCTGCCTGGAGTCAAAGGAGCTCTCCAAGCAGCAGACCTCTCATTCTCTGCTGAGTTAAGGCAACATGAAATGGAGTAGGGATTAGGGAGAATAAATGATCCCACTGTTCTTTATAAAACTTTCTTAATGAATTCTGGTTTGTACCTCTACTTTCAGAGGTGTGGCAGCTTTATTTTCAGAGCCTTTCCAGGGTTTGTGATGTGAATGGGTTTACCTGACTGTCTCTACCTCCTCCCAAAAGCTTAGGTATTCCCTTTCTTAGTTTTGGTAAGTCAGTTATCACTCATCCATCTGCTTTACATGTTCCTAGGTTTTGTTGACATCCTTCTATAGCAGAAATCTCTCTTTCTGTTTGCTTTGTTTTTTATTGGTTAATACCTTTTTTATTCCTTCATTGTCATTTTAGTGAGGAATCTGAAGTAGAGAAAAATGTGTGTTCAATGCACCTGGTTTAATCAGAAGTCTCCTTATGGTTAGGTTTTAACATGTAGAGATGTAATGAACATATTTTCTAAGTAGGGAAAGTCCAAGTATATTTATAGACAATTCCATAAGAATTAGATATAAGTACAATAATAAAATAACTGTAGCCAACTCTATTGAGTGCTTATATGCACTAAGCAGTCTTTTAAATGCTTATATGTATTATATATATTACATATTGTATCCTCACCATGGCCCCATAAGATAGGTGCTTTGATTCAATCCCTAGCAGTATGACACCAGAGCCCCTATGCTATAAAATATAGTACATCATTTTCAAACTACAGGTAATCTCGTTATTTTTAATGTATGGACTGTAGTAAATCCTTGTTTAGTAAGTTATATCTGAAGCTTTTCATGTAGATTTTTAACATTTACCACACATTTGATGTGGCAAAGCTAACATCACTTTTGACATACTTGTTTGAAGATAGTTGGTGGAGGTAGAACAGAATAGTCTATGACACATTTTAAAGCACAGTCATATAAATTGGGAAGCCTGGCATGTGTCTGTTTTATAATATAGACATATGGATATTTCCTTTTAAAGAAAGCAGTTACCATCTGTAATCCGAGAGGTCAAAGAGAAGGAATTAGAAACCTCACATTAGTAATATAAAACTTTAAAGTGCCTGTTTAAGTGAAAACCCTTATCTGCAAGACTGGAACCCATTAAATCTCTGATGGCCCTGAATACCCTAATTCAGATAATTCAACCCTCGTTCTTTGAAGACTTTAATACCAGGCTCATTATCACTCTCTCCATTCCAATGCTACTATCACTTCTGTGGATAATTCTTTGTGATACATACGTAGCTCCCTTTCAAACCCATCTGCCTCTCAATTCTTTGACTGCTACCCTTGAGATGGTTTGTACTGCTATTTCAGCTTCCCAATTTCATGATCATCCCCTACACCTTGACATTACTGATAACTACAGCCCCTCCTCTAATTTTAATTTCAAACCTTGTTCTCTCCAACCCATCTCTTATGTTTTCAGGTCATTCTCTATAGCACCTAAATTCCAACAGTTCTTCAGCCTGATCAGAAACACCAGTCTATTCAGCGTACCATTCCTTTTCACAGTTCCCCGTCCCTCCTAGAGCCTTACTTATTATCGCATATGTAATTATAATGCTTCTTTTTTTCCCTGCTCCCAACTACTTTGCTCATCTCTCCCCATAATACTTGCTGGCCACATCTCAGTCCTGTTTAATCCAAAACTGCCTACTCAGTGCCTGCACATGAGCAACTGAATATGGCTGGAGAAGAATGAACAGCCACATTGACTGGTCTCACTATAAATTCATGACTACTCACTCAGGCAGGCCCTTAGCAGTGCCTGGAAACATTACTATGTTTCCCTAGTCAATTCCCTCTCCCATACTTCAGACTACTATTCCATCTCTCTTCTTTTTTCCTCCCTCCTCTCAAACTGCCCCCTCCTTATTTTCAGCTAATGACTACTTTAGCTAGAGCTGGCCAAACTGCTGTAACAGACCTCCAAATGTTATGGCTCCAGCTCAATGGAAATTTATATCTTACTCACATAATAATCCAGAGTGGGTGTTCCAGGTCAGTGGGCAGCTCTCCTTCATCAGGCATCTTCTCTTTTGTGGGTCTCTCAATCGCAGTGGTTTATAGTCACCTGCATAACCCAGCTGGCAGAAAGGAAAAACACATGAAAGAGACATACTGGCCTGGCAGTGGCAGACATCATTTCTGTTCACATTCCATTAGCAACAACTTAATGCTTACCCATACCTAGCTGAAAAGGAGGCTGGAAAAAAAAAGTCTATGTGCTGAGGAAGAAGGGAAGAATAAATTGTGACAATTAGCAAGCTACCAAAATGATCTTGCTTCTTATTTCACTGAGAAAATAGAAGCACCTAGTAAAGAACTTCTCCTTTGCCCTGCTATTAAGTGCACAAAACTACTTCAATATGTCCTATATACATGGGCACAGGGGAGGGGGGATTATATTCCTAGGCTGTCTCTGATAACAAAGGGGCAGTTTCCGAGCTTTCAACTAGAACATGGTCATAATGACCACACACCTAATCACAAAGTTCAAACATACTTTCCTTCCTTGCACTTTTCAGCCTCTGTGGTCTGGGATATTGTTGATCAACACTCCTTCCTACCCTTGCCTTTGTGAATCGCCAATTTACTTTGCTTTGGAGATATTTGCATTACCTTGGTTCTCCTTCCACTTCCTCTTCCCTCTTGCTTTGCAGGCTTCTGTCATCTAAATTAGATCCCTTTGTTGGCTTCTCTCATCTAGGTCAGAGCCTCTCAAACTTTAATGTGATAACAAATCACTTGGAGTTCTTATTAAACTGAAGATAATGATTCAGCAGGTCTGGGGTGGGAAAGGCTGAGATTCCACCTTCCTAACAAACTCCCTGGTGAAGCCAGTGCCTCTGAGCTACTGACCACACTTTGAATAGCCAGGGTCTAAAGAGGATGTACTCCAAGATTCTGTCCTTTTTTTTCTTCTCTCAGTGATATCACTGCCAGAGATAAACTTCCCAATCTATTTTCTAATTTAATCCTCTTTCCTATATTTCAAAAGCTTTATGTCTAACTTCTTAGAGTCCACCTCTATCTAGCTGTCTTCACAAGCTTTTAAACCTTTACCTAATCTAAACTGATCTCTTAAAAAATAGCTTCAAACTCTAATTTTTTCTATTTTCTACAATTATCTACAAACTCAAAATCTCTTCACTATCTTTGACTTTTCTCTTCCTCCTTCATGTACGTTCTCATGCTATGCCCCCTTGCTGTAATCCAATTAACCAATTGCAAAATTCTATAGATTCTGCTTCCACATTATCTTTAAACATGCTCTTTTAAATTCTTCCTGCCCTACCTTTAGTTCAGACTCATCATTACTTTTCACCTGGCCAACTGCAGGTCTATCTAACAGTTTACCCAACTCTCATTTCTTTGACCCATTCACTGGTCAAAGAAAAGCTGTGTTTTTCTTCCCCAAAACTTTTAAACCACAAAAACTAAAAAATACTGAATTAAATATAAGCTCTTCTACTTGGCATCGCAAGCCCCATTCTCTTTTGTGTCTGCCACTTCTCAACATGTCCTAAAATCTGACCATTTGCTTTTTCCTGAACACGACTTTCATTAAGTCACCTTCATAAGTTCTTAAGCTATCCGTTCATGCTGTAAAACCTTCCTCATCTCTCTGTCTTTCATGGTCAGTCCCAAAGGCCTCCTCGATACTGCCTTTCTTTCCTGATCCCCCAGACAGAGATATGAGCAGTTCTTTGATCTTGCACAGTACTCTGTTTTTCACATGGCACCTATCATGGTTTGTCTTTTATTATGAGTTTTATCTTTGTTTTATTCCTTCCTTTCTGAAAGAAAGGATGACATTTTCAACTCCCCTCCATAACCCTGAAACATCTTACATGTAAGGGTGTGTGTGTCTCCTATTAGTTGAATCAAAGTGATTTAGGGAGACGTGTTGCAATGGAAAGCAGCACATTTAAAGTCAGTATAGCTGGATTCCGGCTCTGCTATTTATTAGCGTGAGGCTTTGGGTTAAGTCAATTTGGCTTGTAAAATGAGACTACTATTTGATAGAGCACCAAGGGAGATAACGTGAAAGTGTTGTTAACTCCACAGAGAAGTGAGCAATGTTCACTATTCCTTACAGAGATATGATGCTGTCTTGCCATTCAAATCTTCATTTGCTGGACTATTCCTACTTCACCAATTAAAGATCGAGACCTCAGTGGCGGGGAACCTGGACCACTAAGTCCCACGGCTCTTTTCCACTCTGAGGCCCTCTAACTGCTCACTGCGATGCAGGCGAAGACGCCAAACTGCGGGGAAATGGCTTTAAATCGTAAGCTCTCAGGAGGCCTCCTTCCTCCCACCAGCTCTGGGAAAGCCCTTCTCTTCCCGGTCACCCCGAGGACCAAGGCGCCACCGCCTACGTGAGACATTTGGACCCTGCCCGGCCCCCGTAGCTCCCCTTCTCCAGCAGGTGGTTCTGGTCCTCTCCCCCGACTCGGGGCGCTAGCGTCACGGGCGAACCTCTACCCACGCGCCAGCGCCGCAACCAACCCAGAAAATAAACAAACCCCCGCGCGCAGCGGCCAGCGCGCCAAGCTCCGCCCCCCGTCACGCCCCGCGGCTCTCACACCGCCCCCGCCGTTGGGACTTCCCTCCTGCTCTCGGCTGCCAGCCGCGCTCTCCCCGCCCATCACCGCTGCCTGTAGCCGCGCTCCCTGCCACGGACCGCGCAGCTCTGCCGCCCAGCCCGCCGCCCCAGGGCCCGTTAGTACCCGGAGCCCGCTCGTGGGGGCCGCTGCGCAAGCCCGCCCCACGAGAGCCTGCCCCCGCCCCTTGACCCAACCCAGTCCCAACGCCTAGGGCGGCTGCCCAGAGAGCCGCGGGAGTCGCAGAGGAGAGGGTGGAGGTAGAGGAGGGCCGAGCCTGCAACCAGGGAGGCCCGGTGAGTACGCTGAGGGCTGGCCCCGCTCACCGGGTCCCCTCCAGCGTCCCTGAAGTGGTGCTGGTGGCTCGGCAGTGCAGCTCTGTGTGCCGCGGGCTCCGCGCTTGGGGATTCGGCCTGAGGTATTGGGCTCCGCTGGCCGGAGCCGTAGGGCAGAGGGCGCGGGAGGGCCGCTCCTGAGGAAGGGCCGCGGCCCCAAAGCCTGGCTCTGGTTTTAGGGGCAGCGGAGAGAGACCCATGCCGACCCCAGGCCGCGGTCCCGGGCAGTGTCTGTGTCTCCGGAGATCCTGCCGGGGAAGGGGTCTGAATGACAGGTGCCGCCACCGCTTCCCTGTCGCGGGCATCGCGCTCCCTCCCAGGGACCTGGGTGGGCGCTCGGAAATTTCTGGAGCGAGGGCTTAACTCACTATTTTCTCCTTTTCAGGTTTTGAAGCCTCATCTTTGCTCGAGTTAGGTCTCGCCCAGCCGTATTTCTTTCTCAACGTACTTTGTGCGAATAAGTTTTGGAGCATCGATTAACAGCCTGTGGGTGAAATTTGGCTTTCATTCATGAGTGAGGTATATAGTGAACTACTTTTTGAGGAAGGTGCTCCTCCTTTTCGCTAGCTATTGAAAAGTAAAGGAGAAGGCTGTTTAATTTTTAATTTTTTTGCTGCTGTTGTTTGGAGGAAGCGGTCTATTAGAATTTTGTGAGGTCTCTAGAATTTAGGGTACTTAGTAGATATTAAACAGTAGTGACAAAATCGTCCTATTAAATTGTCTTTCGATTTTTTTATTCTTCCATTGGAAGAACTAATGAAAATTTTTCTCCACCATTCATCATTATCTATTTATGTGGTAAATATGCTTGTAATTATAACCTGAATCATCAGCTTAATAAATCTGACTTTCAAATCTAAGAATATTAGAGAAACTTTATGGCAAATTAAATATTAAAAAATCTTCAATCTGTGGAAATACAGGGTCTTTTTCCTCAACAGGTTTATAACATGTAGTTGACATGAGTCAAATCCTAATCGATGGAAGATATGTTTAATTGTCATAAAGGGTTACCACAGGCTTATCTGTAAGGTACCAAATAATGTCTCACTCTATGGATGAAAAGCAAAAATGTACAGGTTGACCAAGAGAACATTGGGGAAATGAAAATACATGTCCTTAATTGATGGGAGAATCCCTTAGACCCTTACAATACCTGTTTGTGCTTTTTGCTTAGATTTCTCAGCCTGCAGAAAATGGGCACTGCAGGTTGAAAAGGGGAGGCAGTGTTTATGAAGAAAAAATGGAATTTAAGGCAAACCCATGAAGTTTGTGTGGTTTGTTTGCAATAATTGTGTTGGGAGCAAAGTCTTGGTATACATTAGGCATTTGTTGGTTGTGAACCTTAATTTGTAAGAAGCTAAAGTGAAAGATACTGTTTGGTTGTGGTATTTGAGAAACAGAACATGAAATAGTCCAGTTTTTTTAACTTCACCAGGTAGTAAATCACTGATGTTTGATGCTTGATTTTATGCTTTTCTTAAAAAATGTAAATTACATTTCAGTGAGGCCACACTAATCGGACTAACTGGTTGATAGTGTTAATGGAAGATGGCTGTGATTTATTTTATAAAACGAAATAAATATGGTTATTCTTGATTGAGGGTTTTAGATATATTGTCAGTTTTGAAGTGCCCTAATTGTGGTTCCCAGGACTGAAGTATGACCACAGCTATTGTCTGTCTTGTCCCTAGAGAGGTCATAGTCTAGAGGGATGAGGTCATAGTGCCAGTGGTCCTCAGAACCTTGGAAGAGACCAATATTACCAGCCCTTTTGAAATCCTGCTGCCTGTAGTTTAGGCTATTCATTTTTAGAAATAGTTTATTTTAAGCACCTGATAGACTCTAATTCTTTTTAATCAACACTTTAAAACCAAATATGTTTTCCTAAATGAGTATGTTTTCTAAACAAAATTAGTTGTGATGATCAGTTGGTAGAATGGCACTTACAATGAAACAACTTTGAAACGCTAATCATCTTGAATTCACATTTGTATTATGGAAATTGGAGATTATCTGTAGAGCACTTTGCATTTTCTTTTGCTGTCCATTTTACTTTAGAACACATCTTTCAATGCATGTATAGCTTTGTACTTGGGAAATGTCAGTATTAAAAAAATCCAAATTTAATAAATTTATTTTTGTATGCCAAGTCCTGTGGTATTTGTTAGGGGTAAAAAGAAAAGGTCCTTTCCTTTCAGGATGTTGAAATCAGGGTTTTAGGGGGCCAGGCACAACAGTAAACATAATTTTAAATGAATTAATTCAATAATACAAGTAAACAAAGTACAGAAATATTACGGAGGACAGGATAATTAATTTGAGGGGCAGGTCAGAGAGAGCTTCACAGAGATGATAGCACCTCAGCAGATTTCAACGAATATTTTTTAAAAAAGATTTTATTTATTTTTAGGCAGAGGGGAAAGGAGGGAGAAAGAGAGAGAGAGAGATCAATGTGTGGTTGCTTCTCGCATGCCCCCTACTGGGAACCAGGCCTGCAACCCAGGCCTGTGGCCTGACTGGGAATGGAACTAGCCATTCTTTGGTGTGCAGACGGGCACTCAATCCACTGAGCCCCACCAGGCAGGGCTGAATATAAGTTTTTAAAAAATTTTTTATTGCACAAATAATATGATTTCACTCATATGTGGAATCTAATGAACAAACTGACCTAACAAGCAAAATAGAGACAGACTCAGAGCAGGATGAGGGCTAAGTGGGAGGTGGAGCATTTAGTGGGTGGAGGGATAGAGCAAAAAAGAAAAAAGACTCATGGACATGGACAGCAGTGTGGTGATTGCAGGTGGTGGCGGTATAAGGAGACTAAATGGTAAAACGTAAGTTTTAAGTGGAAGAGATAGAGGTCATTTTAAGAGAAGGGAATAGCATAAGGATAGGAACAAACAAAATTAAATGAATGTTCAGGAAATTGGAGATAGTTTTGCTGGAGCAAAATCTGAGGAAGGATAGTTGTTATAAAAAGCCCAAACATACACTGTAATTAACAAGTCAAATAATCGGTGTATTGAGTATATATAAAATGGAGACTTCCCTACAATTCGACATTGCTGCAAAGTCAAGCATAGAGGAATTAATAGTTTTTACTAATGGTAGTATTAATAATTAAGAAATTATTAAATATCACACAAATGTGATGAGCTACCTTCATATTTTTATTTGTGAACTTGTTTCTGTGCATTTTTTTGACCTGAATCATTTATTTTTTTACTTATTTTGTGAATTTTGTCTTCTGTCTACTACTTAAGTTAGCCTTTAAATTATTTTGTAAAAGGAGGCTCAGAGGGAAGAGGGGAAACAAGAAATAATCATCAGCTTTCTGGACTAAAAACCTAATTTGTGTAATTTTTAGTATTATGTAAATATCTGTTTAATATATAGCACTAGTCACCGCATTTAGAGATTGAACAATGTAGGTAGTTTAGAGGATGTCCACCGTGTTTAATTCTTTTTGCATTGTATACCGTAAGTCCACATCATTTAAATGTATATAAATGTTGGAAATATAAAGACATTTATATTTCTTTATAAAGTAATTTCTTGTGTGAGAGAGAAGGGGAATATAGTAGTGAGAGGGAGAAGAGCTCTATTTGAATCTACTTATCTTAATGTCTCTTAAATATGACTGTAGATGGAGGTGCAAGAGTTTTAGGACAAGATTAAAGAAATGTTAACCATAGTCATGCTCTGAAGTATCTTTAAAAAGCCTGATGTTGTCATAGTCTGCCTGTTTATTTCTTTTTCTCTTCAGGGTTAAAAAAAAAGAAAATTCCTCAATTGTATAACAGGAGTATTTTTTTTGCAAACTCTGAAAAATTTGTTAATAAAGTTAATGGTCTTGTAAAAACATGCAACATAACCAGTCTTTGACAGTTGCTGTCTATCATTTGTCTTCTACATCACTAACATAAAGGACCAAAGGCACCTCATTGTCAATTCTGACTTGTAGTTGCCCTTGCTAAGTTTGACACAGGGCAGAAATATCTATAATATAGCATTGATTACATCATGTTTCCCTTTTTGAATTTGGGTATGGATGACCATTTTCCTTTTTCAAGATAAGATATTTTTCTTAAAGAAAAAATACGGTCATTATAGAATATTTAGGGAAATAATGAAAACTATAGAAAGGAAAATAAGCATAATGAGTAGTCCTGTGCATTTTCTTCTTTTTGGTATGTATATAAATAAGACACATTTACTGATTGAGGGCTATTTTTATATTTTTATTCCCTTTTAATTTAAAATTTTCATTTCTCCCCCTTTCACTTCTGAAATAATGGTTAGTGTGCATGGTATGCAGATTTCTCTCATAGCTATTGAGGTAGATAATGTGTTGGCTATTTGTCATGTGCGGCACATAGCGCAGATGATTGAGCCCATCCAGTTGTCCCATCTCCTACTCCCTCAGCCACCAAGTAGATCTGTTCTCTAATATTTACTATTATGTAAAGGATAGTGCAAGTGGTTGCCACTACCCTATTCTCCTTTTTTGCACCCCTACTGCTGACCAAACAAGGAATCATTATAGGTGAGCATTTCCCCTTTTTCACTCTACCTTTTCCTAAGTTAAAAGAGTATATTTTAATACATGGGTTGCTGAGGTATAGTATAGGTAGCTGCTTCCTCAGAACAACTATTTTGTCTTGTTTTTGGGGTGTTTATCATTCTTTTCTTAAGTTAACAGTGTTCTAATTTTTTTTTTACTTTGTCTTTCTGTGTTTTATTATTTTTTTATTTATTCTGAAACATTTATTGTTTGTCCACTGTATGCCCACTGTTTAAGACATAGTCCCTACCTTGATTTTTGGGTTTCAGGTAGATTGGTGTTTTCCTTCAGCAGTGTGTTAGGAGTAATCTTTAGGTCTTTGACTCTTTTCAGTGGTTCACTGCTCCACATTTACTTCTCAGTGCCAAACAGCTTTTTCCTTTCATGTCAAAGATTAAAGCCTTAGCTTTTGGAATGGCCAGATGTTGATTTAAGTCTCAAAACATTTTTGCAGTGGAGTCATACATGCTTAGCCACATTTTTAAATTGTTTGTGCCAGTTCTATGCCTCATAGGACGTCAAGACACATTTCAGGTAATAATTATAGTAAAAATATAAGTGAATGTTTATATTTGAGTGCTTCTGCTGTACTGGCTCCTGTTCTACTAATGTATCTAAAGTACATTAACTTATTTAACCTTAACACCTCAGTGAGCTGGGCACTCTTGTCCCAGTTTCACGGATGAGGAAGCACAGATCAAGTAGGTTGTTCAGGGGCTCGTAGTAAGCAGCAAGTTGGGTTTGCCCAGGCATTCTTGCTCTAGGTCAGCATTCTTGTCTAGTGCTTTTCTTCTGTTTGACTTAAGCATTTCTAAAATAAAGGACCACAGGTAACCCGTTGTCCCCAAACTAGGGGGAGTATCTATATAGAACTGGGTGGGGAAAAAATCTGTTACATTCTCTTTATTGTATATGATTAAGATAGGTAAAACAAAATATAATAGAAAAATACTAAATGTTGACTTTATGAAGAACTTCAGAATCTTTTCAGGGATTTCAGTGAGAAAATTGTGCTTGCTTCCATGAACATAAATTTTTAGGTCAAATTTAACTGTGAAATAAGAATATACAATTTCTGATCCAGGTTTTTAAGTATTGCTTTCTTCAAATTGAGTTTCCATGAAATGTTTGGATGAGTAGGTAATAAAAACAAAACCATTTTTGTTATATAACCATTTGATAGTTTATGACAATTGAAATTATTTTTAAAGAACCTAAAATCTTTTCTCATCAAAATTTAATAATATAAAATTTCTTGTGATAAAATGAAAGAAGTTCAAATGCAATTGAACTTTCCAACTTCTAGTGTTTAAAATAATGACGAAGCTCTAATTTGCAGAATGCATATGCATTGTTTGAGCAGGCACCTTGCAGCTAGATCTTATGCCATTAAAAAGGTGTGTAGCCCTGGCTGGGTGGCTCGGTTAGTTGGAGTGGTCCTCCTGTACAACAAAATGTTGTGGGTTCAGTCCCCTGTCAGGGTACATACATAGGTTGTGGGTTCAATTCCTGGTGGGGGTGCATAAAGGAGGCAACCTGTGGATGTTTTTCTCCCTCCTCTCTCTCTCCTTCCCTTCCTCTCTCTCTCTCCCTCCCCGCTACCCCCCAACCAATAAACATACCCTTGGGTGAGGATTACAAAAATAAAGGCTTGTGAGAAAAAAAGACATGTCACTGGCAGATGAAGGGGGGAATGTCTGCTATTTGTGAGTGTAGAGATCTCAGGCCACTGCTTGGAACCTTGCTCACTTAGAGATTTTGTGCATCCTCACTCCTGACAGCAGTTGCTGCTCCCTATACTGCATACCTTGTGTTTTGGGCACCTAGAATACAGACTCTTCCAAGAGTTCAATAACCTATCTGCCATGATCCCCAGCAATGCATTCTGCAGCTGTCTGTAGATTTCCTGGGGCTTGAGCTCTTCCCTAGTCACAGTTGACAAATAACTACAGAGCAGCACACGCACAGAGTTGTCCCCTGGGGAGCATCAGATAAGGCTGCTTGCATCTGGTGGTGACTGGCCCAGAGATCGCATTCTCCAGGGCTTACTTGGCTGCCCCCAGGACAAAGGGAAGCTGTCTGACGATATACTAGTAAGGTAGCTCTGCCTTTTGCCACAGAAAGAAAATTTCTATGAGCTTTGGAGAGATGTTTTAGAACAGACATCTGTGAACATTTAACTCATGCAGAACAAGCCAAATATGAAATTCACCATTTTGATATGTCTTGGAAAAGAAATTTATTTATGTAAGATATCAATCACAGTAAGGCTTGGTTATACTGCAGTAACAACCTGAAAATCTCAATTGCTTAAAGAAGTAAAGTTGCCTTCTTGATCAAGCTACATATAGGGTAGGGCAAAAGTAGGTTTACAGTTGTGTATATGGAAAATAATTCGATGATTAATAAATAATAATACAAGAGTAAACTCTGTTTCTTATACTCAAAATTCTCATGCTTGCAAGGAAGATTTAAGCCTAAAAATATGTCATAATTTATCAGTGTGATATGATCTCTGTATGTTGTGGTATTTTATCTTGATTTGCATAATTTCTGAGCACAGGAGGAATAGGTCTTAAGATGGTATTATAATAAAAATACTTTGATTTAATAACTACTAGATGACATCTTCAAATATCAACTCTTGATTTTCTTCATTGTTTAACAAAAAAAAATGATTTTAAAATGATTTTTTGGATTCTTAGGTCAAGATGGAAGATTGGACACATGCTTCTCATTTTTGTACCCTCCTGAAAACATAAAAACTATAATGTGCTTTTAGCTTTCAGAATAGACATTAATTATTCCCACCTCTTAGTATTCACAATTTTGCATAGTTTACTCCCACACTGAATAGGGTGGACCCATGTAAACAATAGGATATTGTGGAAATGATAGTAGCTTGTTCAGATATGAGCACTGTGACTTGAGACAGACATGGTAAAACTGAAGAAAAACAAAGTAGTAAGTAATAAAAAAAATCAGGATTATAGTTATCTCTGGATGAGAGATTGGGTTCTGTTGGGGAGAGGCACAGGATGCATTAAAGTTCTGTTAATCTTAGAGTTGGGTACTTGGAGTGTTTAGTTATTGTTTTTAAAAAACTTAAATATTTTATTCAGTTGTGTACCTGATGCATTTCAAAGTAAAACGAATAAATGTCTGAATTTCACAGTTTCTTTAAAAAATATTTCCTTTTGAATTGAAAGAGTACTTAGTCCTCTTTCTAAGTAGTTACAAAGGTTCTTTCTTTGAATTTGCAGAGTCAGGTTCAGCATGTCTAGGTTCAGGTCTTGACTTTCCCAGCAAGTCACTTAACCAGTCTAAGGATGAGGGACCTCTATCTCTAAAGGTAAAGAATTTGGGTTAGAAATTACTAGAGGACTTTTGATATCCTAAGTCTAAAAGGTTCTTGTAAAAGCTGAAAAAACATTAAATGAAACCACTCCCACCTTCTTATGCTGGTAATGGTAGGATGCACTGAGACTAGTGAACTAACAGATAGTGTGGAAGGTGATTTTGAAAACTTTTCTTTGGTTGAGGGCATTTAAGTTCTCTATTTTACTCTCAGTTCTATGACTTAGGTTTGATCCTAGAGATTGCTACTAAGGCAGCATTTTGTATATGAGACTGTTCTTTCTTCTGTGCTTTTTTTCCTGTTTTGGAAGTTGGGGACAAACATATACTTCTCTATTTTAAACCATATTGATTTAGGGGAGAGAAAGAGAGAGAAGGAGAGAGGGTAACAGCAGTGCATAAAAGAGATAAAAACCATGACTTTTTGAAAACTATAAATGGAAGAATGATTACATTGTACTGGTGGTAGTCTTGCCTTCGTCTGTGAAATTTCAACTTATCATTTTTTATATTCTGTTGCATTATTTTATGTTGTTTTAAGTTAAAAAGTATGTTATTGTCCATAGGACTATGGGTATGAATTGAAATATTACTAAATCCTATGTCTGGAGAAATATGTATATAATGATTATGTTTACTTACCTGCCTCCTCTTCTCCCTTCACAGGAATTATTCTTGACAGAAGTATTTTAAAAGAAAAAGATTTACAATGGCCTCAGCAGTTCTTAGTTCTGTTCCCACTACTGCTTCTCGTTTTGCCCTGTTGCAAGTGGATAGCGGCAGTGGCTCTGATTCTGAGCCTGGAAAAGGCAAGGGTCGGAATACTGGAAAGTCTCAAACAAGCAAATCAACTACAAATGAGAAAAAGAGAGAGAAAAGAAGAAAAAAGAAGGAACAGCAACAGAGTGAAGCAAATGAGGTAACAGTGATAATTATTTGTGTCTGCTTTCCGAATGGACTAAGCATCATGAGGACAGGTACTATCTTATTCACCCATGTATCCATGCTACTTGGTCCATAGGTACTTGGTAAATATGACTTGAATGAATGGATGTAAATTTGTGTGTATTTAATTTTTTTAAAAGATTTTATTTATTTTTAGATAGGGTAAGGGAGAGAGAAACAGAGGGAAGGAAACACTAATGTGTGGTTGCCTCTTGTGCGCTCCCACTGGGGACCTGGCCTGCAACCCAGGCATGTGCTTTAGACTGGGGTTCAAACTGGTGACTGATTTGCAAGCTGGCAATCAGTCCACCAAGCCACACCAGCCAGGGCAATTTGTGTGTGTTTAAATTAAATGTAATGAAAATTTTTAAAATGCCTCTATTTTTTATTTTTTCTGACTGTGGAAACTTATGTGCACTTTCCAAAAGCTAAGGAACTCTTAAAAGGAAACAAAGGCCATTTGTAAATATAACTAGAGATATAACCAATTAATATTTTGGTATGTCTTTCATATATGTATAAATTTGTATGAATATATAGATATATAAATGCACATATATCTATATTCATATTTTACCTGAACAAAAATGGAATTATGTAGTAGACTTTTATACTGGATTTTTTTCCTAATTAACCATGAGCAATTTTCTATATTAGTAAATAAAGATCTACTTAGATGACTCCACATTAATTATATGGCTATATCATATTTTAATTGAATCCTTATGATAAACATTTAGGTTGTTTCCCTTTTTTTAACTATTATAGACAGTAGTCCTATGACTAGCCTGAATATATATTTTTATGCATTTGATGGTATTTTATTTTATATTGTATTTTTTCTATTACCATTTACCCCCCTTATACTCCCCTCCCCCTCTCAATCTCCACACTGTTGTCCAGGTCCATGAGTATTTTTTCCTTTTTGCTCTATCCCCCGACCCCTTAACTGCCCCCCAGATCTATTAGCCTGCTCTCTGTCTGTGAGTCTGTCTCTATTTTGCTGTTAGTTCAGTTTGTTCTTTAGATTCCACATATGAGTGAAATCATATGGTATTTGTCTTTGACTGGCTTATTTCACTTAGCATAATGTTTTTCAGGTCCATCCATGCTGTTGCAAAGGATAACATTTTCTTTTTCAGTCCATTGGATGTATATACCATAGTTGTTTTATCCACTCATCTGTTGATGGACACTTGGGCTGCTTCCAGATTGTCATCTCTTTCTTTAGGGTAGTAAGTTTATGGCAGGCTCCTCCCCGCTAGGCATTCTTAGCCTGAGATATATAGCCAGCACTTAATGTGCCCATTTTTTTAAAAGAAATGCTGAAAAACAGCTCTATGTTTGTCTTTTAATAGAAGGAACAGTCAGGTATATAAGGACCTTTCTCAATATCATTTGATGAGACAAGTAGTAAAAGTGGTTTTTTTCCCCCTATATTCATTTTATAATGGCCTAAGACTTAGGAAAAAAGCCTTTTCGTTTCTATTACATTTTCATCACCATTGCTTTCTAAATATCTTTTTAAAATGTTGCCACATGGAGAACAACTTTAAAAGACATTTTTCCCACCATACACTCATTGAAAAGTCCAGTCTTTCAGAACTTTTGATTGCCTATCACTTTCATTTTGGAATTAATGATGATGTGGAGGATCAGAAAATAAGGTAATAATGGAATTTACATTAGAGAATAAGAAATCATGTAACTGAGAAGGAGGCTGATGATCCTTCTTTTCAACTTTGATGGCTCTAGTTCTATCAGTCTTTACTTTCAGTAAACAACAGTCTACTTGCTAGTGCTTCATCTCCAGTAGCATCTCCTCTTGCTATGTCCTTGGTTTGCAGGTCAGCACTCAATCCACTGAGCCACACCAGCCAGGGTTCCTCTTGTTATGTGCTTTCCACAGCAGAAACCAGCTACTTAGGTGTTTTTATCTCATTCCTGCCTTTTGCAGAACCATATATTGATTATTAGTTAAAATTGCTGATCCTTGATTTAAAGCCTCTTTATTAGTTTCCTAAGGCTGTCATAACAAAGTACCACAAACTAGGTGCCTTAAAACAATAGAAATTTATTCCCTAATAGTTCTAGAGGCTGGAAGTCCGAATCAAGGTGTCAACAAGAGCAATGTTCTCTCTAAGAATCAAAGTAGAATCCTTTCTTGCCTCTTCCTAGCTTCTTATGGTAGCCATCAATCCTTGACTTAGAGCTACATCACTCCTCTGTTATTACCTGCTTGGCATTCTCTTTGTGTATCTTTCTCTTCACCTCTTCTTATAAGGATACTAGTCATATTGGACTAGGGCCTACCCTAATTCATTATCACCTCATCTTGATTACATCTCCGAAGACCCTATTTCCAAATTAGGTCACGTTCACAGGCACTGAGAGTTAAGATTACAACATATCTTTTGGGGAAATATGAGTCAATCCATAACAGCCTCTCAATATTTTTGTTTCAATTTCTGGGTCTCAGATTAGTCTTATTCTTGGGAAGTAGGTTGGCCAGTACAGTTTTAGTCATTATGTTACTTTGAAGACTATAGCCTCTGTATTTTTTAGAGCTAGCAAAGCAGTTGTTAGAATTGCATAAGATATCTTTTCTTACTATTTAAACTTTTAAATTTGTAAGCTATTAAACTTTAATCTTTTTGAATCCTATAATTTTGCATTTTAAAAGCACACATCCAAAAGCACACAATACTATAAACTTATTCCCCTCAGTAAAACAGAATCACTAAAATGATGGTATAATAGGGTACAATCCATTTTCATTTACTAATCATTTCATCTAGAAATCGAACATCATTTAAAATGCTGGCAAAATTAATATTCTACAAAGATACGAAAAACACAAACGATGTTTGGACTAGTACATAAAATCATTAGTACTCAGGACTGGTAAACTGAATTTAATGTATTCTTTGTTTGTTTTGTAGCTCAGGAATCTTGCTTTTAAGAAAATCCCCCAGAAATCCTCCCATGTCACTTGTAATGTTCAGCATGAGCTTTCTTTACCAAACCCAGGACAGAAGGATTCACGAGAAGAAAATTGGCAAGAGTGGAGACAAAGAGATGAGCAGGTACAGCAAAGTAAATCAGATTATTTTGCTTTGATTTTTCAATGAATATTTGCATTGTAAAGTTGGCATTGCATCTGAGTCTGTGACACCACTGTTCTTAGGATCTTTTTGTATTGGATTAATTCATATGTGTTTGCTGCTTTTAATAAGAGGTTCTGTTTTTTGTGTACTAGGGAAACAGATTAATACATTTATTTTTGTTAGTTGTGATAATTCAGGACAGTTATTTTGAGAGTTTTTAATGCATTTGCTTTTTTACAAATGGAGAGATAGGAAGGTAGAACAACAGGATTAAATTGAAATAATTTAATTTCAATAAATTTAAATAATTTCAAATAAAACAATTATGTTTGTAGGGCCTGAGGTGTCTTGTATAAATTCTGAGCAACAGTTTTGCCTTTTTTAAAAAAGGAAGACTTTGAGGGGAAACTTTTCCTTTTCAACCTTGATGTAAAGTGGTTTATGTAGCATTCATTTGTTTCTTTAACCTATTTAAATGATATTTTGTTCTTCTGTGCCTCTATTAAAAATCATTAATAACCAAATCAAATAATTTATTTAAGACCAATGTCTTTTTTTTTGTTCGGTGTCCAAGAAGGTAACATACTGGGCTTGAAATGTACTGTAGGAGCTGTTGTATGTGTGGGATATGAACAGTTATTTATCCGTTAAACTGTCATTTCATCTATGGAAATAGGTATTGTTCTAGCAGATGTTTGGCTTAATAGAGTGACTGGCTGTACCTCTTATACTTGGCTATGAGTTTTAAAGAATCAGGCTCTTCAGTACTCTTACCATAACCATGTTAATTATAACATTTTCTGTAGGATTTTATAGTGCTGCTTCAGGCTCATCATTATGAGAGTCAGTTATTATACTACAACTAACAAAAATGCTGTTCAAAAGATATTCCTAGGCACTGGTGTACTGGATAAATCATCTTGCATTATTCTAGGGGTTTTATTTGATTCTGTTTTTTTTCTTTCCACAGCATTCTTCTAGTTTATACATATAAATTTAATAATCTTTTATTAAATATAAATAATAATAAAGCAGTAATAGAATTTACCAGAGTCTTCACCAGACAGAATTTCTTCCAGTGGCGCAAAGGCACTGGAAAATTAATGAAGGAAAACTATCCAAATTTGCACCAAAATAAACTCTGTGTAATATGGGTACTTGAGCACAGATATTAGATTGCCTTTCTTCCTACCCCACTGATTGCTGCCAAAATGACATGGTAATTACACAAAAGAAATAGTTGACTTAGCCCTCACCCCATATAAAGACTGATGGACAGTATATCACCTGGAATCTATTTTACTCCCTGGACTAATAGATTTTAAAATTAGGGACCGGGCAATGACTGTACTAGGCAGAAAGCATACAGTTATGGTTGGTGTTCTTTCTGACACAGCAGGGAAACATCATTTGTGAGAAATTCTAGATATTGAGAGCTGAGTCAGATAAAAAGCTGGATATAGATATTTTGCCTGTTACATGGCTGCTTAATTCAAACGCAAAAGAGAAAGTTCCCTACTCCTAAATCACCAAAGCAATAATGTAAATTTGTATCAGCTAAACCTCAGCATAAAATCTGAGAACTGTCATTGAACAGCAACCAGAGAGACAGTAAAGAATCATCTTAGTTGATCTCAAGTCAACTGAAGAAAAGTTTCTGCCACATAAAAGGAAAAGAACATTGTACTTAGTGGCCAAAGTGAAAGCACACTTTGAAAAAGATACGCTACAGCAAACAGAAGTTGATTTTAGACATCCCCTATTTTTTGCTTTCATAAAAACCAAGGGTCTAGAAAATCTTGTAAAACTCAGGGGAGATAGTAATGTTCTATAACAAGGTAAAATAATAGACTGAGATGAAAAAGCAACTAAGAAATTGAAAGGGAGATGGGTAAAATAAAGAAATCTGGGAAGTAAAATCATAACAGAATTAAAAACTTCAGTAGAAGGACTAAAAAACAGAGTGTACACTGAAGACAATTGAGTCAGTTGTGTGAAGGGAAATTTGAGATAAATTTTGCCAATAAAATTGACATGATAGATTGGAACACAGAACTGAAATCCAACAGAGGCATAATTAGTATTCCTGAAACAAGCAGAACAGAGGGAGTAATTAAAGATAATGGTTGTAAAAATTTTTCCTAAGCTTGAAGACTTAAATCTGAGCTTGAAAGAAGAGCTGAAACCTTTAAAAAACAAACAAAAAAACAAAACAAAAAACCCTGAAGTCTCTTTAAAAGTTTTTAATTTTAAGAATGGGAAAACAAGGAAATAATACTATAAACATATGCATGAGAGAAAACACATTGCCTACTAAGGATGAAAATTCATGCTGTCTACTTTAAATGCCAGAATTGAAATGATAGGACCAAAAATTCAGTATCTCGCCAACATGACATTTTTTTGACTGCTAAAGAAATACATCTTCAGACATGCAAGGAATGAGAAAGCATCCCACCTCTATCCTTTGTGCAAATTTTTATGAGATGTACTCCTGCCAATTAAAAGGCAAGTTTAAATAGCACAGTAATTGGAAAGCACCAGTGATGAATATTGCAAATAGTGACTGTAAATGTGGTTATTAAAGAGAACAAACCTGTCCACCTGAAACTAATATAACTAATATAATATTGTATACTAACCATACTTAAATTTAAAAAATTTAAAAAATGAAACAGGATTTCATGAAAGAAATGTTTTTCTCATAGAATTGCTTTAAATCTTTAAATACCTTTGTTGAGGAAAAATGGAAGTCTCTTGGAAATTTTAGAGGATGCCTTAGTTTCAGTAATCAGGAAATAATAAAAAAAATGAGAGAACACTACAGATTTATCTTTAGTCCTGAGTTTACTCAAAGGGGCTATTACAGTCATAAAAAATGGATCACTGAGATTGGGAGACTTGAGTGTTTTTATATGCAGGCTGTGGCAAAAAAAAGTAGGGTTACAGTTTGGAGTACATGAAACAGTTTATTCTTATATTACTTATTATTGTATTATTTTTCATATTAACAACTTTAAACCTACTTTTGCCACACCCTGTTTATGGGCAGAACCTGTCATAGGATGAAGTCACTTCAGAGATGGGAGCAGTTAAATTCTTGGTTTACACCAATGAATGAATGAATGAATGAATGAATGAACATAGCTCACTCAAAAAATTTGCTTAAAATGAAATACCTATTTATGAATACAAAAATTAGGAAGGAATAGGGCAGAGAAGGCAATATGTATTTTTAAATTTTCATATTGGTAACAAAATATGGTTATGGTTAGTTCCAAGTGTGTTTTTTAAATTTACGGAAAACTACTTGCATATAAAACGTCTCAATCTCTGAGTTTTAAATCACTTAAAGAAAAAATAAAAATAAAAACATGGCCCATATAGCAAAATGAATAAAGCAAAGAAAATTGCAAGAAAGCCTTTGAAATAAGGCTAAAAAAGGATAATAGACACTTTGTTTATAAATAAATACAAATAAATGTAATTACTCATTAAAAGATGAAGACCAAACTGTCTGAACCACATTTTGATCTTAATTCTAATATTTTCCTTAACTTTAAAAATTATGATATATTTCCCCTAAAAGGATAGGTTCAGGCTATTTTTGAGTATATATTTTGCTGAGTTAGGCTACTAAAGCTGCTGGAAATTGTAGAGATGAACTATATTCTATTATTTGTGCTATAAAGAAAGGTTTTTTTAAATCTAATTTTTCCATTCATAAACTTACATCTATTTCAGAATACTTCAGTGTGGAAAGATAGTTTTATGTTCCCTATTTTGTATATGCAGAGACGTATACATCAAAAGGAAGTATATGTTTCACACTTGAAATAAGTGAATTTATGTGACAGATATATAAAATATGTAACCTATATCTCAGGAAAACTTAGTGTTTAAAAAAAAGATGAATAGGCCATGGCTTTGATTTGATTGTATTCATAATTTTACTGTTTCTTTTAATATTGAATCAAGGTCAAGATATATATTGTTCACTAACACCTGTTCCCTAGAAATAAATCTCTGTAAAGATATTGTTCAGGCATAACCTCTTTTATTCATGACACATTGATATTAATGATTCCAGTGTTCTTTTTTTAAGTCTATCAGGGGTGTCTAGCCTGTGACATGTAGGCTGCATGCGGCTCAGGTTGGTTATGGATGCGGCCCAACACAAAATCGTGAATTTACTTTAAACATGAGATATTTTTGTGATCACGTGTTGCAGTGTATTTAATGTGTGGCCCAAGACAACTCTTTTTGTTCCAGCATGGCCCAGAAATATGAAAAGGTTGGACACCCGTGGTACATCATGGCTCACAAATAATTACAGTATTTTGCTATGCATAATGTGCACCCACGTTTTGGGCCCAAAATTTAAGGGGGAAAAAAATCTTCCGTTTCATTTTTTTAATTCAATTATTTATATTCACAAACAAAACTGATTATTGTATTCCAGGGTATTATTTTGCCTACAGATATCATTATTGCTTTCTAGAGGTACACTTTTAATGGATAAATGATCATAAATAAAAAAACTAAAAACATTTACATAGATACAGAATTAGTACCACCCATGTAAAATATTCATCCTTATTTTTCCCTCAAAAATTTGGGCAAAACAGTGTGCATTATACATGGCAAAATACGGCAACTTAATAGAAAAACCTCTTCTCTTGGGTTTTCAGTGATGGATCAAATTTTATTGTATACTTCTTCCTTTTATTGTATTGGTTCAAACTTGACATGGCTTTGTCCAGCTGTATAGTATCTGCTAGCATGTGCACGATAGTAATTGTTCTTTCATATTGTTTTCCAGTCCATGTGATAAAGGTATTTTGCCAATAGCTTGTTCTGTTTTATGCTTGTGAGCATGATATTTATTATTAATATTAAGTCCCTTGGTATAATGAATCCCTTGGCAATAGTTTGACATGCACTTGGTTTCACTCTAAGGAGTGCAAGTTCAGATAAAT